TTCCGCACTGGCGTCTTCCGCCTTCCCTATTTGCGTTCCGCCTTTCTGGATCTCCCTATTGCGGTTTACGGCGCAGGCGTTTGCCGCTGTCGCGGGCCGGCCACCGCGGGGGCCGTCTGAGCGGCCGGGCCACCCCTTGGCGCTGTGCTCACGCCTCAACCGTCTGGGCAGCTTTTGCACACGGCCACGGGACTCTCTTTAAGGCCCTAGGCGCGCTCAGGGCTGGCCAGAGTGTTGGGACGGTGCTGTGGCGTTCAGAATCTCCCTTGCGCGATCTTCTGCTGTGAGGGAACGCTCGCTGGCGGGTTCTTGGTAGCGGGCTAAGATTTGTTGCGAAGAGGAAGAGAAAGGGGAAAAAATAGGCACCCCCTCCTGTGCAACTAACTGTATGCGAGACTCTTTTCCATGCTGTGAAAGATGACGTTCTTGCTCAGGAGGGGTTGCGCCCGCTGTGTGGCATCTTGCTGTTTTCTTTTGCCAAAAGGGCCGCCTTTACAACACAGAGATTGCTGCCCAGGGCAGCGCCATCCCTTACCTGGGATCGGGTGGCGTGCGGGATATATCATCTGTTACAGTGTGGAAAAGAGTGTCACCAGTTTGGGTAGGCAGGAAGTGTGCACATTGCTTGACATATGCTTTTGTCCTGTCATAAAACAAGGAATCTTCATCTGCATGCATAACAAGGAAGCTAACATAACAGTGCAACAGCCTTGGGAAAACAACCAGCAATGTTGCAAAGCATAACTTGTTGCTGATCAGCCGAGACAAGTATGCAATGGTTGCCTCACACCTGAACAGAGAGATGATCGGGTTCTAATCCATGATGTGAAAGTGTCCCATATGAGGGTGTGACAGCGCAACACTTTGCAGCGTGCGTCACAATAAACATGCCCTCAGAAATGCAGCCGGGTGCTGTAGTCAAGGCATGCTTAGTGTTGGCGACTATGTTAGGCCCAAGAACTTTGGGGCTGAAACTTTGATTATTGTATGCATTCCAATGACCTTTGGACTGGAATGTGCAGCTCTGCAGGTCAGCGTGCTGGCGTATGAGGAGGAGGTCGCCAGCATGAGGTCATCAGGATTTGTGCGGCTGCTTCTTCTGGTGGGTACTGGCAGCCATTTTGCTGCAGCTCATGGTTTCTGATGACTGTGTGCAGCTTGTGAACTCATTCAGCAATACAAAAAATAGCTGTAATAGCAAAAGCCAACAGGGAAGTGAATCAGGATGCTTGCCTCTGGAGACAAAGCAGCAACCTTGCAGCCCAAAAGCGATGGTGGGTGCTGCGCAAAAACCGCTCTTCTGGGCAACACGTTTGGTGCATTCACTGCCCTCAATATGTTCAGCATGGCCAGTATATCCAATGCACACAATTCATTCAACACATTCCATGGAGTCAACGTAGTCAATACAGTCGCTGCATTCAGGCTCCTTGAGCAACAAGGCTCTATATGTCAGTGTGGCATGCTCCCTGGCAGTCCAGAGAGTTGACCCTGAACCAAATTACCAGCTCCCCTGGAGTCAGTGTTGGCGGCTCTGTTATTAGAGAAATGCTGTTCCAAGTCTCATGGTCTCGTCATGGACTTGGTTGCTGTATCAACAGAGCAGATTGTGTGCAGGCACAAACCTCTTCTGTTGATGCATGCTTTCAATTGATGAATGGAAACCAATGGTGCAAGGGTGTGACCCAACTATGTGCAGGAAACCTTGCATGCTATTTTTGCATTTGGGTCCTCCAATATGGACACTTCTCTGATTCGTCCGAACTCATGATGTGGGAGATTTGCTTTGGTTTTTGTTGTCCATTGTTCTGAAAGATTGTGTCACAATTGAATAGCCCAGAAGCCACCACCCATCCCAACAAAGGGAGTTTTGGTATTCTTTTGCTAAACAAGGCGATGTCCTTGTAATCCACAGGGGAAAAGCTGATGCTGTTTCAAGTCCTGAACTCAGCACAGACTTGTGCCACACCAGCATGTCAGTTGTCATGTTGTTGCAATGGACTCGTTCCTTCCTGCCTTTCTGGTGGGGCACTGCAGTGATGCCGGACAGCCATGTCAGGCAGCAATTTGAGTGTGCTGACGTTTGTAGGGATATCTCCTTCAATTCAGCCTGGCTGACCATCACCTCTTCTCGAGCCGCCACCTCTTGCAGCCGAGCAGCACCGATGGCGAAGCCTTCCCTTGCAGCTGGGATGAGGAGAACGAAGAGTGTGCGTTGAGCGAGGCTATCTTCATGACTGTGCAGGCCGCACTCGATGGCCTCTTCGACCATGCTGAGGTGAGCTTCAGCCAGGCCAAAGGCACAATCTTGTCATGCGCTTGGTCTTATCTTGGGCTCCTGCCACAGAGAATTTGGCCCAACAAGGGGCAGAGGATCTGAAATGGATCACTGCCATACAGTGACATACGCCACCAACGTCACTTGTCAGGAGTGATCGACAAACTCAGCATGCTGTGGGCACCACCTTGGGGTCATGAACCTGTGGACAAAGCCTGCAAGCGCACACATCAGTGGAAAGCATTCTCATATGGTGGTTCTTGGAACTAATTTGCATAGCGAGTCATACCTCCAAGTATAGTTCCGACCGTGGGCTTGGGGCGATTAGTGCTTGTTTACACACCTGTGTTCCCATCATACTCAGGCCACACTCATACCTTGCATTTATAATTGCTGTTCAGAATAGTGGGAGTTATTACGACTATAAACTGCCATGTCTATGGGTAATGTGCAGATACCAGCTGTGACTCCTGTCCAAGTCTGTACCCAGCTTGGGTATGCCTCTAAGCTTGAACACTGTGTGTGTTTTGCAGGAATGTGGCAAACAGACCTCCAAGGCCTCTTGCCCCGCTGATATGTGCTCATGGTGGGTTGCCCTGCGGGAACGAAAGTGCTGCTCTCCTCATATCTGAGCTGCTGTTTGTCAGCAGATCGATCATCCTTCTGGGAATCAAGATTCTAGTCGATCAAGACTACTACAGCGATGTGTCAACTCCATGACCATGGCGACTTCCAGCATGACTGAGAACCGCACATGCAGCTCAGGGCAGTATTTGCCTCTGAATGAAGCCCCCCTAGAGAATGGAAGATCTGGAAGATAATATTGTAATCAAAATCTGAATTTTTATGGAATAATATTGTGCAGTGTGCTACTCTATAATATAATAATATGTTAATGCTCCATAGTACTTCCTTTATCCTAAATTAAGTGTCCCCTATGAATTTGGCACATCACTTCTCCATCATGAATTTTTCCTTTTTCAATGATATGTTGTCCAAGGCTGTGCATGCGTCTCGGAGTATACAGTCAATATTTCAAGTCAATCCGTCAAGTATTGTGGATTTGGCAGTACTTTGTAGTAAGGGTCCACCGGCCACAACACCGCAGAAATGGCCATTTTCACTGTTTTGAGGAGTGCGCTTTCGCGGTGGCGAAACGGAGCCGTCCATGCAAAACTATCCATGCCGTTTGGACAAAAGCTAGGGAGGTCCCTGCGAAGTAGCAAAGTGGTAGAGACAATGTCTTGGTTGGCTTGATCGTGGGAGTCGCCATGGCTTCATTGCCTTAATTCGAGTTCGATTGGCCAATTTGAGGACGCATTTCTGGCCCAGATTTTGGGTCCGTGGCCGTTGAACCTCCATCGCTGCTATAAGGGGTACCGCGCAAGGCCTCCTAAGCCCCTCGAAGAGGTTCGAAGGAATGCGATGGCCATCACCCTAATCAACGCGAACGAATAGGGGATTGGCTTCCAGGGCGGGATGGGGAAGTCGACCCTTGCATCGACAATTGAAAGGGTGGAACGCGAAGCAGGCAGCCAGAGAGTCAAGTTTGTGTCTCTCACAGTATAGACTAGTTAGATTGTGAAGGGTTGCAGACCGCATACACGAGTTGGCTAGTGGCAGTTTATGGAGTGTGGACGCAGCCATGCACGAAAGCCTTGCTTAAAAGATCAATCGAGGCGCAATGTCAGTGTAGAGTTACAGCACAACCTTAGAGTGATAGCCCGCACAGAGCCCAAGCTTGGGCGTCTTGGGTGCTGGCATTTTCCGCTTGTTGCAAATCCGAGCATCAGATATCAGGGAGGGTGACGATTTTTGCCATCGTTGACGTCGTGACAATGGGCTCCTTCGATGGGGTCTAAACATCGTTAGGTGTGTTTGGCAAGTGCCGTACCAAGTGAGGGACACTGTCCTTCGCCACAGCGGCGACGACGACTTTGCTTTGGCACGCCTGGGATGGGAGCGGCCCAGAACCGCGCAGGTCTCCATTCGATGCCAAATCAGAATGCACAAGTTTTGGCCAAATCTTAGGCAATTTCGAGGGGGTCCCGGAGGTGGTGGGGACTAGTATTTTTTCAAAAACACTGGCCGTTAAGAGTTTCCCGACCCATTCTTTTTGGTTCTGACCTTATTTTGTATTTTCGAAGCCTTTCTTATAACGAATTTTGTCTTTCAAATAGAGAACAATTGGGACAGAGGAATTGTAAATCCATAACAGAGTCCACTTGGCATGGCTTGCAGGACTGGCACTGAGTGCTCAGCAGCGGACTTCTACTTCAACGAGGAAGGCATCGAGGAGTGCTTTGGGGAGGATTTGCTTGAATTCATACTGATACCAGAGCGCAGCCAGGCGTGCGAGCAAAACTACACAGACGAAGACAGCTGCAATGATACGAAAGACTGCACTTGGTGAGTGGCGCTCGCTGCAGCCAACAAGTGAATACATTCAACGAATGATGCAAAGCTGTGCCTGCTGTCTTTAACCGGCTGTTATCGTTTGGTTGTTGAGGTTGTCTGTTACGGCAGCGATGGATTGTGGTCTTTCATGTTTTGCTTGGTCTCCATTGTTATGTTGGTTGTGTTGACGTCGTTTCTCGTTTATAGGGTTTGTTCTGCTTTGTTTACTATCAGTTACATCCAACTCAATATCTTAAGTTCTGTTTGTCGCATTTGTAACATCACATTTTCATCACATAACAAAGCAAGCCTTCTTTTCGCTTTTCGTTTATGGGGTTTGTTGTGCTGTGTTTTCTATCTGTTACATTCAACACAATATGTTAAGCTATGTTGCATTTGTAACATCACGTTTGCATCACATGACAAAGCAAGCCTTCCTTCTGCTGAGCTAGCGATGACAGATCACTTGATAGTGCCAAGGGGGATAGCAGATCCTGCAGAAAGACAGGATGTCCAGCACACACAAGTCCACGGGCATCCACGACAAGCATCTCCAAGACAAAGCAAGACGAGCCATGCCCCACCCCCTTGGCTGCTGTCGCTTCCTGTTGGTGCTGTTCTCTGTTGTGCGCAGCGTGACTTGCCTCCTGGAGGTGGCCCCAGATTTCGGCCCCTGCTTCAGCCAGTATTGCTGCGGACCTTTAGGCAGGCTCTCTGGTATAGGATTGGCCAAACCAAGGCAGGGGCTCAGCTCAAACACCTACTACTGATGGGTTTTGTGACTGCCCCTAAAGCGTGTGATTACTATAACCTGTCGGGTGTCCGCATTGCTCCACTTGCTGATCATTTTTATGGCCTTACTCCTGATGTCTTCGACATGGCTACCTGTTTTAGGCCATCCAGTGGGTTTTGGCAAAGCATCCTTGCAATGGAGCTGAATTTGGCATCACCTGTATGTTATTTCACTGCTGAATTTATCTCATGTGGCAACACATTTTGGACTTTGCATTGATGCTGCAATACTCTGGTGAACCTGTAAGCTCCTATGTAGCTTCATAGTTTCACTTCTAGTTTCTTCGGGGCTCAAGATGTTGATTATGCATCGTGTTGTCACGTGGCATGTTATGCCCCCAGGATTGATGGTGACGATGAAAGGTGTGGGCTCAGTATTCTGAAGTCGTTTGGTCTCAACGGATTGCTGGCAGCTGGTGCCAAGGTATGTTGTGTGGTAGAGAAAGCAAAACAAATTGCCAAGGAGACAGGGCACAGTAAGAATCCCATTGATGACTGCACTTGTAGAAATGTGCGAATCTGTCCGTTCACATTATCCAAGGGTTGCATATCTATGTCATCGAGTCCATTCATATGCACGCCCATTTGTTGTTAGAAAATGTGTGTGGATGATATGCAAGCAATGCGCAGAAAAATGCAGTAACATGTGCACGTATGTGAATGTATTATTGCTGTAGTATTGAACTGAATTGAATTGAAATTTCCATTGACAGTGCATCAGCCAACAGGAGCTATGTTGCCACTCACCAAGTGTACATGTCCATTGTACTGCTGTAGTATGTGTCAATGCATCCAGTACCTTTTGCTATCCTGATGTCCATCACAGGAAATGACAGGAAGCTAGTCACCCACCAAAGCCTCACCACCTGTCAGTCCATCTCCAGTTTCAGGCAAAGGTTCACAGCAACAGGAATGTGACACATGCCACACAATGGGCTCCCCTCCTCCCCTGCAGAGGGCAACTTACCTGGGCTGGGGTGCAGAATATACCATAAAATATTCAACCCTTTCGCATCGGAAAATTTTAACGTTATGCTTTTTGCTCCATATTTTATTTTTCAAAGCCATATTTTTGTACTTTCTGTGTTGCTACGTAATGAAAGGCCAAGCGTGGCATTAATGCTTATTAGTTTTCCTCCACCAAAAATGCCACGCTTTACGTTACTATGCGGAAGGGTTGAATATTGTACAATATGCTGCTGGTAGCCACCATGTTGCCATGCGCTCCGCTCACTCAAGTCACTGTTCTGGAATTGAACTGCACTGTGCAGTGCTACACTGTGTTTTGCTGCACTGTACAGTGCACACTGCAACACACTGTCTTTTGTTGATCGCATTTGTCAGAATAAAGAAGTGCTCCCTGGGCACCATCGAAGGCCACAGTTGGCATAATTCTGCCACTGTTTTTTGACTTAATTCATTCAGTTGATTTTGCAGTGTTGGTTTGGGTTCTTGACCTTTCTGTGAACATTCTTTGGTCTTAATTGTCAAATTTTCCAAAGCAGGCATTGCCCACAGCCACAAAGTTTTGTGGCCACCCATACTCCTGGACAGTCTTTCGAATTTGATAAGACCCTGTTCCCTCCCCAAGACCTCCTTCTCTGGTGGCACAAGTACAGAAGGGCCCATTTGGGAGCTTCCTGCTTCGCAGGCTGTCCAGCCATGAGTCAAAAAGCATGCAACATTATTAACAGCCATGCAATTGTCCATCTTGGGTCCAAACAAAGCAATCGTCTTGCTCCGCGCAGATTGTCGCCAGCACCCTGGGCTTCACAAATGCCTCATTGCGCATGCTGGTCGCCGAGTGGGTGAACTGCAAGCTCGAGAGCGACGAAGACGGGTGCCTCGCGGAGGGCAGGTGCGAATGGGACTCAAAGGAGGTGGACTGTGAGCTGGGTTTTGGCGCCGTGGCCCAGATCGTGAACGCCACGTTCCCCTTGGAGCTGAGCACGACTTGCCTTGCGCTGAAGTCTATCTACAGGACTGGGTGCCCCGGCTACAGATCGCAGGGGGAGTGCAGTGGAGACAGTGCGTGCAAGTGGCTGGATGATGCAGGTGAGAGAGCAGTTGATCACTGCGGAAGGACGGGGGCATGGGTTGCTGTGCTGTTGCATGTGCTGTACTGTAGTGCACTGCGGTTCCCTACGCCTCTCAACAGTAAGTGCAACAGTAGCAGCTCATGTCGTGATGCATATGTTCAATTTGGATTTCTCGGTTTTCAGTGACAAATATGCAGTCGCCACAGCTGACAGTTGTTGTGCACTTCTTACACTTGTACTTGGACTTCTACCTGTACTTTTACTTCCGCTTATACTACTGTCCTGTAGACTATTCACTTTCTTGCAAGAATCCCATGGACATTGCCCCAAACCCATCCATTCTCCAGCCCTCCGATGGCTGTACACTGTGCCCTGTCTGGTAGCTGCAGCAGTGCTGATGAAGTTGCAGTTTCTTGGTGATTTCAGGGCTGGGGCCCACAAGACCATCTTGTGTTGGGCTGTTGTAGACATTCCAAATCTAAACCGATCTCAGGACTGCTGTTCCAGAGCAACACATGCACTGTGCATGGGATATTGATACATGGATGCCACATATCGAGGCAATGAAGCGGCTGGGATACTTTCGTTCAGCTATCAAATGCTTTGTGCCTTGTTCAGATCAGTGTCTTGTTGGTATGCAGGATACATGCCGCTGCGTGCTGTCACCCTGCTTTCGGAGATTTCTGCAACATCTGTTACAGTATAAGAAAGATCCTCACCATTTTCGCTCATTAGGAATGTTCCCATTGTATGGCCTGTTGCTCTCTTCATTTAACAAACAATCTTCAGCCATCGACTACTGTCATTAAGGCATATGTGTGGTGGGCATCGCCAGGCCGGTGCATCTCGACTAATGCTGCAATCGAGGGGGAAGCCAACATGCAAGCCGACGACCTGAGCGCCAAGGCGGGATCCACCTGCATGCGTGCTGACGAGAAGGGGGACTGCAGCGCGATCACCCTGGCTGACAACAATTCTTAGGCAGGGCAATGGGCCGCAGCCCCACTGTGCATGCGCCCCATGCCTTTGCCGCAGTCTGGCGAGGGTGTGTGGTGTCCAGGCAGGGAATTGTTGCAGGCCGTATTTTTTTCAATGTGTTGGCAAGTTTTCGTGGTTTGCATGTTTTTTCCATGCTCTTCTTTTTCTGCCTCTGGGTGTGGAGGTGCAAGCTTCAGGCATCGAGGACTGTTTTGCCGTTTCTGCTGTTTTCCCCTTTGCTGTCTGCTGGGGCACGGAGGAGCATTGCTCATGGCCTTGCCGTGGTGGGTTGTGGTGCTCTTCGGCCGCGCTGCACAGCAGTACATTGCACCAACATTAGCTATGGTGGCCAGGGGCAGGACTGCCGCTCGCCCACTCTGGACCCGTTTCCACCAGGGCGGGATCCAAAAGCGACCGCGTCCAAAATTTTATCCGCAGCTGCGGGCAGGGTTACAATACCACTTTGACGCCTGCTGCGTGTTGCGGCACCCATGCGATGCTTTGAGCTGCTCTGGCCGCCACTTTGGCGTCTGCCTCCCCGCGTTGTTGCTTGCCTGTTGTCGCATCCCTTGCCAACGGTATATATGCACATGGTGGGCAGGGTTGGCGCCACTTGTGTGCATGCGATGCTGTGTTGTAGGAAAGGGCTGCGCCCATGGAGAGGAGTGGTCGCGTGGGAGACGAGTGCCCAATTTGGCGCGGGAGCACGTTAGTCCCCAGTTCTTTTTCCTGAAGATCCCTTCTTCTGCTGCTGACAAGGCCAACGTGGATCAGCGGGTCGGTGGTTTGGGGCTTTGGGTGCCGAAACAAGAAGGGATCTTCACGGAAATGACAGGGCGACTAATCTCATGCCCCACCGCGCTCGTGACGCTTGGCGCCGCATCCTCCGGCGCGCTGTGATGGCGTTGCCCGGGGCGAACGAATCGACCTGTCTCTAACTCGGGGAGTGCTTGGCGATGCCGCCGAATCTGCGAGCTGCACAATGAAGATGGCAGGCAGGGTCAAGGGGGGCGGCGACCCCTGACAGGGGCCCTTGGGTTCGAGCACACGGCAACGGTTTACAGCGGAGCAAGGGACGACAGGGGTTCTGTCCCTTGCATCCAGTCAATTCATCAATGTCCTTAATGCAACTCCTAATGCCTCATCACCTCAAGGGCCCAGCTGTTAATAGTGCTCGATCAGTTCCAGTTCTGCCTTGCCGGTCTCCTGAGCCCACCCGGTCATGTACTCCCCAATGACAAAACACTTACATCAACACAATCACCAACGTATTGTGCGCGAGGTTCCCATCCGTAAGTTAGCCCTTCGCTTTGCTAGTACTTAATGCCACTCAGAGAGTGACTCACCCCACGAATCAGTCCCCTAATCCCGTACTTCACTCCCTTCACTCAGTCTCCATCCCACAACTAAACTGAACACAACTTTCAAGGGCGGGAGGGCTGGGTGCGAAACATGATGAGGGGGACCAAGGGGGGAGCCTAAATAGCCGCCCCTGCTCCGAGGGCGCCAAGGTTGGCGGCACCTCGTATTTTCGTACTTTGACTGGCCCACAGTACTAGGGTGGCCAGAAAATCCAAGGGACGGGGGCTGAGAGAGCCCCAAGTTCAAACTGCGCCTTTGAATCACCCAGCGCAGCCCACCCGTCGTCTCCCTTGGCAGAAACCCACTAACAGGATAGTTAATTTCATTTACAGCCTGCCCGGCTTGCCAGAAATGGGCCCCTACTGGGCCGTGCCTCACTGGTTAGGCAGTGCAGAATGCAAAAATGAAATATTAAACATCAAGAATTAGGAAGAAGAAAATGAAAATTTGAAAATGAAACAAATGGGCCATCTTCCCACATGGGGTTGGGCCCTGAAATTCGGGCAACAGTATGCCGATGACCACCTGTGCGTGGTGGGAAATGGCGAAGCAAGAAGGCCACATGCTTGTCAATACTTTGCAATCCAGAAACAGTCGTTGATCGCCACGTGGCAAGACCGCCATGAAGCACAAAATTACAAATGCACTTGTCATTGTCACCATCATTTTTTACAACACAAGGCAATGAGGTGGCCTTCAACTCCCTGATTTGCCCGAGCAGTGTCTGTTATACTTGTCTTGTCAGGCGACGGTCTGCCGGCAACGTGGGTGGTCGCAGGTGTGGGTTGGTCTGCTGGCACGAAGCGCTGATCACTGTGGATCGCCTGTGGATCGAACATCTGGAAAGGCGAGGCGCAAGGCACGGCGCCTCGGTTTTGTCACGTGGCACAACATGTGCTCCTAGGAATTCCGCAACCGGAGGAGCAAAGGAGAGGAACAAAGAACAGTCTGTTTGGAAAAAGTAGTACATCACTTAGTATTCACAGTACTTTGTTGTACTGGTTATCCCCGACAATATCCTGAAGTTGGGCGCGAGGCTGCGCGCGGCTGCTCGGGCGTGTGGCCCAGCGCAGACGCAAGAGGGCCGCTGCGTTCTTCTGCACATTCTGCTGCCGAAACTGTTGCACAACTGGTGCGCAGACTCAGCTCGCCAAACGCGAGTCACACAAACCGCCGAGCCCGATAACCAGAATGTCCCAACTGCGGCACACAGACCGTGTGGCACGGGCACTCGAGGTGCCACCAGAACTGGCGCCAAGCCTTCGACCGGCCACGCATGGGCGGGCCTGGCCGTAGCCACGATACATTTTGGTGGGCCGTGCGTTGCAGGCATGGACACTGACATGCACATCTTTGCTGTAACAACACCATGGGCAGGACATCTTCATCTTCGACCGGCCACGCACAACCGCAGCACTCGCACAAGGCGGGGAGAGATCCCTGGTGTCAAAACAGAAGGCGTACAAAACACGCAGCGCCAAAACCAACGGTTACAGCCCACACGGCAAACGCTAGGATACATACAGCCCCACCCACCGCCCCCCATTACACGCGGCCAGTGCGCATGCAGGTGTGCCCCACTGCTCCCCTGCCTGCCGAACCCCTCCCCCACCACAATTCATAATACCTTACTTGCTTCCTCCGTTGCCCCCGGGCCCCCCACCAAGACCCCCAAACCCATAAAAAGGCAATAGTGTTCTTTTTTTTCTCCCGGCAAGCCCCCCATCCCTGCCCCAACATGGTCCCTATTCCGCCAGCCATGAAATGTCTTTACTTAATAGGTTATTGGCTCTTGAACAGCGCCGCGACGACTTGATCGATTATTTGACAGTGTTTTCGCTGCAATCGCACAAGACCATGCGAGAAAGGATGCCTCTGTTTGGACATCTGCGGGTGTGCGCGTACCCAAGGTTCCACCTGCCCCATTGCATCATAAATAAGGCTCAAAATTCAAGCTGGCAGTCCCCACCCACCGCCACCCTCCCCCGCCAGTACCCCACCCCCATGCCCCCTGTCACTGACTACGCAGACTGCATGTGCATCGCTTCATCCTGCATGGGGTAGACAGGAGCGCCAGGGATGCCCGGAGCGGCGGGGGCGGCTGCAACAACGGGGTACGGTGGCGGCGGTGGTGCAGGCGTTGGCGTCGGCTCGGAGCTTCCAGGTCCAATCACAGATGAAGGGCCGGCGGACGGCAAGGCCTGAAGCGCAGCCAAAGGTTGCACACATCAGTCTACATGGGGCGTTTGTACAGCAAGGGATTCTGCACCACATGTGTTTTGTCCTGTGGGGCCATGCCGTCTGGGGGCTGACTACGATAGCCATTGCTCAGCAGTAGAGCATCAGTGCCCAGTGTCCAAGGAGTGCTGCTGGCTTTGATTCTCGGTCACTTCAGGCATTCATGCGAAATGCTCAAAATAGCAAAACAGTACCTTGGTTGACCTTTGCCTCAAGGGTCCCTTGCACACTCTACACGTCTTTTTGCAACATAAAAGAAGCACTTTGGGTTTACTTGCTCATCTGGGGTCCTTTTTGCTTTGGCGATAAGAATCCACAACGTTTGGAACCCCCCCAACACCCGAACCCTTAAACCCTCGAACCCTTAAACCCTCAACCCTCAGCCCGAACCCTACAACACAAGCACCAGCAATACAGCCACAAGTGCATTTCAAGCATGCATCTGCACTGTGCTTCTCAGAAAAGGACTGGCTTGATCATGCAGCAATGTGAACACAGATTTGTGTTGCGATCCCGTTTCCAAAGGCACTGCAAGAAATGCAACGTTGCATGGACTGGTATAATGAGCCACACGCCAAGCTGCAACACCAAGTGGGGTCAGGACTTGCTGAAACACAAGTTCAGAGTGAGCACCAGACAACAAGGGACAATGCAGCACTTTCTTGGACAAATGCATGGCCACTTCTATTTTTGTTCTCTGGCCTTGGGCACAGCTTGGACCAGCACGCTGTTACCTGCATCGCCACTGTGGCTGCGACTGCCATCCTCTGATCAGGAGTCATGGACTTCAGCCTCTTGTACTGCTCTTTGCTCGCTGAGGACATCTGCTCATACGGCGCCCTCTCTTCAGGCGTCATAGACTTCCACTTGTCGCCTGCCAGTTTGCCCATCAGGGCCACCTGCGGCTGGTCACCAGGATGCTCCCTCTGTGCAATAAAACCATCACATTGCGTCAAGTTGATGGGACAACTCAATGGCTGCCCGAAGTGACTTTCGTCCAGACGTGGCAACACTGAACGAAAAGTTTGGTGCACTACGGGCCATTTCTGAAGGTTCGAAGAAGCTCAACCCACTCACCACTTCTCATACAACTGTCCTGCAGTGATATTCGTTTGGTTCAGACTGCAGCTTGCTTTACACTGCGGAATGTGACAACAGGCTCTCTCCGATTCTCCACGTACTAAGGGCGGACCACTGCATGGCATCGTCATCATGGCCTCAGGAACCGTTGCCATATGCCCCTCACACTTGGGCCAACACTCAAGACAGTCTTGCAGGCACACATGGGCAGCAACAACACGTAGGTTCGCCCCCCCGGCAGCACCGATAAAAGATAACCAAAGAAACCAAAGCTAACCTCGTGTCTTTTCGCTGAAAACAAACTAGGTTCTTCAGCCCTCGGAGTCGTGGTTGAGGCTATCAAACAGACAAAAGGAAAAAAAACTTGCGTGCCTTTGCCAAAATCCCCGTCTTCTCTGGCACCTCGGATTCGTCACAAACACAAACCGCAGACATGCCCTCGCGTCCCTTTGCCCAAACGCCCACCCCCCCGAGCGCCCCTGCTGGGCGCCCCCTGGGCAAACTACAGACGCCAAACTACACCCGAACCCACTGGAGCGCCCCGCACTCGGCTCTGGCCGCGCGAACGTTAGACCCCAAACTGCGCTCAAACTACTGCCCAGACGGGTGCGCAGGCAATCCGGGCCCGGCAAACTGCGCACGCAAACTACTGGCGAGACAGAGGCCCCGCAATCAGGCGCTCGGGAGCGGTGGGGCCGCGTCTTAGGCAAGATTCGTAATGGAGCCCAGCGAGGCACAGCCGTGTGTCAACGGCCAGGCCGCGGGCCCGCGCCCCATGTGAGACTCCCCCGTTGAGCTTGCACGTCAGGGGGGGGCCTGGAGTCTGCCCTCCCCCCCGCCCCATGCTCGCCGCGCCCATACATTGGTCGTCAGGACACACTACAGGAGCGCCCGCCCCCCAGCCGATGCACTGAATCTCTGCCGCAGGCCTCCAGAGCGCAGACAAGCCGGCCAGACGCCAACAGGGCCGTGCAAGCAAGGGGGCCCAGACCCCTCACCCGTTTGGCATTTTCTGCCGAGAATTTGGCCGGCGACGCCTTTGAGGGGGTGGCGGGGGCTGGAGGGCGTTCGGCGGGAGCCGGGCGGCGGAGATTGACGACCCTCGAGGTGGGGATCGCTCACCTTGTAGGCATCGCGGAAATCCGCGAGGAAGAAGAAGTAGGCGCTCTGGGGCTTCTTGATCTCGGCGGGGTCACGCTCCTTCTTGGCGCGCCGGTGTGGCTTGGGGTGCTCCTGGTTGTATGCCTCCATGGCGGTGGCGTATTGGGCCTGCGCGCGGCGGCAGGGGAGGGCGGAGAATTAATTCGGGCTCCCAAAGCCGGGGGCGCGTGGGGCGTAAGAAGGGGGATGCGGGGGCAAACGACGCCTGGTGATGCCAATTTTCGGCGCGGGGGAACGTTTTGGGTGGGTTAGCCTCGGCGGGGCCACACTGGTCGAGCCGGTTGGGCCGGCCAGTGGGCTGCCCCCCCCCCGCCCGTATTACCTTGTCCTCGCTCGATTGCACCTCGTACTTGGCCTTCTGGTCCTCGGCCAGCCCGCGCCAGGCCTCGCCCGCCGCCTTGGCCACGTCCGCCACCTTCTTGCTGTCCGGGTTGTCCTTCTGCGATGCGCCAGCCACCCGCCGTCAAAACGAGGACCCCGTGCGCCCCCTTCCGGACCCCCTTAGACCCTCCCAATCTGGACACCCCGCCAGGGCCGCGTGGCAGAAATTCTTTCCAGCTCCTCGGAACTGTCCCCTCTCCGCCCACCCCAACCCCCTTACCCCGTTTTGGCCCCCCTCACCTTCCATTGTTGCCGGAACTCCGCCAGGAAGAACATGTACGCCGACTTGGGCCTGCGAGGCGAGTCAGCGGGCTTCTTGGCCCTCTGGCGCTTGGGCGGCGCGCCCGCCCCGGACCTGGCCCCCCCCCCCCGCATCACCACACAGAGTCAGCCGCTGGCCGCATCCACCTCCCCCCCCCCCCCTTTTTGACGATGTCCCGCCAAACAGTGATCCGCACGGGCGCGCGGGGTGGGCAGAGTCGGCCGTGAGCGCCCGGAATGACGCGCTGCGGCGCTGCGTGGAAGCTGGGGAAGGCGCGGGGCGTGTGCCTGTGGGTGTGGACGTGTCCTCGCCACCACTCACTGGTCGGCATGGGGTTTTTTGCCCCGCTTGACTGTGCCCGGCGTCTCCAGCGGTGGATGGGGCGGCGCCAGGGGGGCCATCGGGTCGATCGCCTCCACGGCGGGGGGCGCCGCGGCCACCATCGCCGCCACGTCGCCCTCCACTGGCCCCAGCGGTGATGTCACGAGGAAGGGCACCGGGAAGCCGGCGCTGCCCGCCACGCCGGGCACGGGGCCGATCGCCCCGCCGCCGGGGGCAGCCAAACCCGGGTGGCCCTGACCCTGGGCGTCATTCATGCTCTCTGCACCGTCACAGCCAGCGCATTTCAGGCCCCTCCCCCCCCGGCCGCCGAGCACCGTGAGCGACATTCGTGTCAACCCGCTCCTGCCCCCCTGCCCTGCGACGGCAACACCACACACGCCCCCCCCCCACCCCCCCTCCCGGCCTCCCATCCGCAGTGCCCATTCACCTTCCATGCCCGGCTGCTCGCCGTCCATGTCTTGGCCCCTCCCGCGATCGGCGTCCCGGCCGCGCGGCAGCGGAACTCGATGCGCCGAAAGGCCAACGCACGCCGCTCGAGCTCGCCAAGGGCGGGGATGCGATCCGGTTTCCGGCCGAGGGCTTGGCGGCCGTACCGGCGGCGGGCAGGCCGACGCGCAAGGGCCGGCTGGGCCTGGAGACCCGTCTGTGCTTTGCTCGCCCACCGCAGCGCGTGGTGGGTGGGGGTGGGCGCCGAGTGCCGCAATGTACACGGGGCCAATAGGGTGGGGGTCTGGGCGGGCGCAGAGGGGCGCTATGTACTGGCGAGGGTTTGTGGCGGGGGGCCAAAAGCTGGCCGGGCTCTGTTTTTGGGCCGGGGCTTTTTTTTGGGCTGGGCTGTGGGTATGTGAAAAAGTGTCGGGGGTGGCGGGTGGGCGGGCGCGAATTTGGGTTGGATTTTGATGTGAACTTACTTCGGCGTGGACTTCGGCGGTAATTTCGATACGTAAGATTTTTTTACTATGATCTTGATGAACTTCGGCTTGAAATTCGCCTTAGAATTTGGATCGGCTGGGGGAAAGGTTATGGCCGGGGCATGTCTTCCAATGTTGCAAGAATCCCAAAGCGTGGCCTTGCAGTGCGGCAAAAAAGGGGCAGGTGGTGTGTTGGCCGCCACAGTCTGTGTCTTCTTGCAAGCAGTAGGGGGTGCAGGGAGGCTTATTGCTCTGCCAGAGTGCTTGGCTGTGGTCTATGGAGTCACGCTTAAAGGGCAGATAGCGCCACACCCACCTAGATTCGCCCAGTGCAGAGGACAAGTCCCATCTGTGCTGGGCCCTTCTCCCACCCGCTATTGCCCCAACAACAGACACACTTAAACTCGCAGAAGCTACTCCTTCCACACGCAGAAAGTCCTGTGCACCTTGCACCCTGGACAGCCATGCAGCAGAGTCTGGTGGGTCTTTGCAAGCGAGCTCTCAGGTGCTGCACGTGTGTTTGTGTTCAACGTACACGCGTTGTGTTTTCGTGTGTTCTTTTACGCATGCTGTGCATGTTGTGCTGAACGGCATGATGTTTATGTCCCTGGCAGAATGTGCAGTGTCTAGTGCTGCACCCTGAGCTGTTTGTGTATCATACCTCCCATGCACCTGCATCCACATTGCCACCCACTCTGGGTTCCAGCCTGTAAACTGGTGCTCTGTTTGCCATCAATTGCACCAGTCAGTGGTTTCCCTTCAGCTGTACTGTGAGTGGTGTGAAAGCTTCATTGTACCAAGAAGGGGAGCATGCCAATGCAGTAGGCTCCCCCGGCTTGAGCAGAAACGTTGTGAGACTCTTTACTTTATGATGTATGGCTGCCTTGAATGCCTTTGATTCAAAGAGGGAAATACATAACACAGAGCAGCATGCACAGCTACAGGACATGTGCCCAGGGAGCCGGGGCTCACATGCAGCAGGAAGACGCCCTGAAGTTGATGGTTCACACTGCCACACATCACCAAAGGAGAATGCGAGTTTGCACCGTTTCTTCGTTGTGGGACACGTGCAGTTGACGTGGAAGATATACCTGACCTCTCTGAAAGATGCACATTTGTTGTTCAGGTTGAAGAAGCAACCACACCACCTGCCAGCCTGAGCAGTGAAATGCGCCACAGGGGACGCGTATCCAGATAAACCTGTCCCCCCCTCCAGTTGCTTGGACGCCTGTGCATGGTGTCATGGATGAACATGCGCCCCAGAAGCTGCCAGGCGTTGACGACATTTTGGACAAGTCCGTGGTTGAGCAAACCAAGGGCGTCCAGAGGAGAATGTGCGTAGTTTGGCGGCGCTTGCACGCCTGCTGTTACTATTGTTATCATTCTTGATTCCTTAGTTACATAGAATTCACTAGACCCGACTCTGCTCCCAGCAGCATAAACATGATGTCAACAGCCTGTGCCACCTGTCGAAGATGTAGGTCAGAAGCTGCCCACCCCTTGTTGTTGATGGGCGTCTGTCGCAAGTCAGAGAGGCCACTCAGATGAATGCAGTCTAGCAGGTACCCAAGGAAGAAACAAGGCGTGCATGCAACGGCAACCACATAGTGTCTGCTATGTGCCGCATCCATAGAGAAAGGGGTGTCTGAACAATCTGTTTGAGGCCAGGAGAACAAAAACGCCAAGGACTGGTGCAAAAGGCCAGCTGTCGCATTTTGTCACCTGTTGGGGATGGACAGCCCTTGCTATATTGGGGTGTGACTGTGGAACAGAATGGGGCCAGGCGATTGTGTGTCCAGCTCAGATCGTTGTGTTGAAATACTTGGCAAATGCTGTTGGTTGCCTGAATGGGACACCGAGATGACAGCAGTTCTCCCTGGCATGACAGTCTGGGGCAGTGAGCCTTTCTGTACCTCTTACAGCCAAGCTATTGTCAGCACTTGTGGCTTGAATAACTGGTCATCAATGCCCGACCCATCCAGACATCCAGTCTTGGGAGCACAAGCGTGCATCTCTTTTTAATTGAGAAGGAAGCTTTCTCATTGTTTCAAAATAGGATGTTGGACAGCCTCTTGATGTGTTCATGTGCAGTAGGTGTTTACATCGCGGCGCAATTCACTGTGGACATAGTGCACTGGCTGCTGCTGTGTTGCCACCTACAAATGTGTTGGAATCCGTGTGTGCAGACTTGCCAGACTGGGTGAGTCCAAGCGCCAGCTGCACGACTTCAATGAGGAGTCGTCCAGCAAGTTCTCAGAGTTGAATTCACAGCTGCAGTCCAAAGTGAAGCTGCTGAGTGATATGCACAAGGACCTGCTGCATGTGTACCAGCAGCTCAGGTGCGAAGTGAGACTCTGCACCAAACCATGGTTGTCTGTGTTGCCATCAGTCTGTGGATCAGATGGCATGGAGGTTCAACACTCTAAAGAATGCCATGCACACACAGCCTATGCTAGTAGTGGCATATAGCCTTGTGCCCCGACTGGAAGCATCCCCTAGATGGGACCAGCATGGCATGCCTAATACTTTGAACTTTCAGCTTGTGCCAACTTTGCCCAAGAGAGTGTTAATTGTTGCTTGTGTTATATGTTACTGCAGTACTACTGTACTATCGTGTCACTGTGCTTCTGTGATCTTGTGCCTTTGTTGAGTTCAACATTCTGCATCTTGTCCAAGAGTCTGGGTGCCACGCCCCACGTGTATTGTATGTTGCTAGGTGTTGTGTGATCCCCACGGTGTATAGAGTTTTGCCTGCAGCATTGTCCACAGCATGGAAAGCAACCTTGCATACATGTTTGCTCAGCAGGGATACCCATTTACCGTTTGTTGCTGTTGCAGCAAATCTTCCAACCGCACTGTCAGTGGCAAGTCCACATGTGCAAGGACGTTGCCAAGCCACACAGCAGCACAGCTTGAGTAACATGCAGATCGTAGCGCTGGGCTGATACACTGCGCAAAGTTGCCATGCTCATGTTGCTTTGGTACAGCTTAAGTTCCAGCAGAACATTTGCCAGAACTGGTGTTTGGGCTGGACTCAGGTTGTGTGGAAAGTGTGGCTGACAGGTTGTTAGAAAAGGATGTTTTGCTGCCTGTAGGGTTGCTGCAGAGCTGCTGCCACCTCGTGAGAAGCACTAAGGGTGCAGCAAAGTACTGAGCACATGTGCATCCAGGTGCAACACGGAAGCACTGGACTTCTCAAAGGCAGTTGTGCAGGGATTGCAGTGTGGGCTATTGTTGCCTCCTGTACTTTCCCAATGGAGCTTGGAGGACAGATGGCTGAGCCTTGCGTAGCAGTGTTTTCAATGAGGAAAAGCGACCTCATCTTCTGAGCGTATGCTAGTGCACAGAACCTTGCCCAGTTGAAGGCAGAACTCGAAGACAGAGACATGAAGGGATCCCTTTTGCCAAACATCTGAACACCTCAACCAGCATAGGCCCATCTGCTGACAACGTTTGTACTGTCGCTCAGAAGAGCGCCCACAGTACGTTTCTCTTTGCATCATTTTGAGTGGTGGCACACTGTCCAGCAGTGGACTGTTGACACGGCTGTGAAAGCTAGCGTGAAGCTGTTAACGAAGCTGTGCAGTTGTGGCCACAACGCAGTGCAAGATCACCGCATCTCATCAGTTTGGCGAGCAGGCGATGCCAGTTTGAGGCAATGCAAAGCAGCACAACAGAGGAGTCCTGTCAGCGAGTGTACCTTTGTGAACCAGCATTCACCAAAGCTTCTCACTGCTCTAAGTCCTGCCTTGCAGCCGCACCCTACCAAACTTGCTGCCATTCACTGCTTTGCTGCCTGCTGCCTGTGCTTCCCTCTTTGTACAGCAAGTCTCCCTTGTGTGACAGTCGTTCAGGGCAGTGCCATGACAGATGGGGATGCCAGTAAACTTCTTCAGGCTCAGATGCCCTTGCAATGCACCCCCTGTATGCTGAGGTCCAGTTGTTTGTCAAGGTCCTCCAGTTCTCGCATGTCCATCCTTTGCAGCTCCAGCTCCAGCACATCTGGGGTTGAGCGCAGCAGGTTTTCCAAGTCCAGTACCATCGGCTGGTGCTGAGGGAGCATCTGGTGTGCTTCATCCAGCGCGTGACCCTCCGCTGCATCCCGACTGCCTTCTGCCATTGGGGTGGAGGTGTGCACTGTGCCTGACAAGTTAGCCTTGGCGTTGGCTGGACATAGCACAGTGCCCATTTTGGGTAAGATAATCAGAGGTTGTGGGTGTGGCTGTAGGTTGTAGGTGGCCGGAGGTTGTGACGATAGTTGTAGGTTAGGTTCGGTTAGGTTAGGTTGTTGGTTTTGTCATAGTTGTGGGTAGTTGTAGTTCGAGGGTGTAGTTGAAGGCAAGGGATGCCATGGTGTGGAGGCAGAACGATTTCAAGCACTTTTGCTCTGTATGAACTGATTTGGAACAAGAACAGCAGCTGCCGGTGTTGTTTTGGCAATGTTCTGCGTTGGAAAAGAAGAAAGAGCCCACAGAGCCCATTATGCAATTCACAGATGTGGAGGATGGCTGGCAGGACAGCAGACACCTTTGGCAGTGCCCCAT